TTTCAATTTTGCATGCTTGAGATAAAGCTTTCTATTTAAATTTTATCTGCTTTACAGTTAGATGTTATTTGATTTGTTTACATCTATTTATTCTGTACTATATTAACTTTTTACTAATTCGGTAATAGAGGCAAAATAATTAATAAATATTTATTTTAGTGACACTACCTATGTAATATTGTTGGAAAACTAATTATTTAAAGTTGTAGTAGAAAACCTAAACTATTTAGATTTTATATTTGCAAGTTTATTTAATTTATATTCAATTAGGATGTGTAGTCAAATTAATATAGAAATAGGTTTTTCTATTTCTTGTTAAAATATGTTTCATACTATTATAAATAGAAAAATTACTAAATATTTTTAGAGCATTTAGAGTTTTGTAGATTTATAAATAGGAGACGCATGAAAAATTGTGGAGAGTATTTAGATATTTATAATAAATTAATTTTCTTCATACTGGTATCAGAGTCAGGCCCCCAATATTGAGCTTCCAATATAAATTATTCACACTCCAGTTGGCAAGTCTGGGCGTGCAGGAGAGTAATGAAATTTCACATCGAAAATGGATGGGTTTCTTGAACTTTTCATATGGCTTGAACAATCCTCATCCTTTTAGCTAGCTTTTAGAGTTGAATTTGGCTTAAGATTTATTTTTATCATAGTATCAGAGCATCTATATTCTTGGTAAAAAATTATAACTACTTTTGTTGTCAGCGGACAACGCTAGCCAATGTGGTCTCCCGTCTGGCCAATGATTATGTTAGCAAATACTAAACGAATAATATATGCATGAAAAAATAATCATGCTGAAAATAATTGAAAAAAATAATCATATTGAATATATGATTTAAATAATTTAATTCAATGCTATAAAATATTTCTATTGTTCAAAAGTATATAATCTTTCTTTCTTTATTTTCTATAAAAGATTTCGTATTTTTTTCTACAAATTTTAATATTGTCTTAAATAAAAATATTATTATCTATTTCTCTGTTAATATTTTTTGGGGCCTCATAATTTTGGGGTTTAAGCAAAGGCTTTACTAGCCTCCCCCTAGAGTAACCCCTGATTACTATTATTAGTCCTGAAATAAAATATACCATCAATTTACGTACCTTGAATATATCTCAAAATTCTTTTTTGTGCTTGCAAGTGGGATCGTCTTTGAGATTTCATAAATCTGCTAAATAATCCAATTCCATAAGTTATATCACGCTTTGTAGAAGTCAACTAGTTTTTTAAAGTATGTAGTATCAACAAAATCACCAGTCCCGTCTTTAGTCAATTTCAATTTCTGTTCAACATAGGTCAAAGTAATTTCGCTCTTTTCATATTAAATCTCTTCAAAATATCATCGGCATATTTTTAAGAGAGCTAAATATTTCATTATTCAATTGAAATGCCTCAATGCCAAAGAAAATAAGATACTAATCTCAAGTCAATCATCTTAAACTGGCTAATCATGGCCTCTTTAAACTCAAAATTAATTTGAAATTATTCTTTATAAAGATTAAACATCCACATATAAGCACACAATAAGATTATTTGCACAAGGCTTGAATTTGATATATAAAATGTGCTCATAGTACATCTCTAAAAGCCATGCCCAGTAAATAAGAATCAATATGAGTGTACCAAACTCTAAGCATTTATTTCAATCTGTATAATGCCGTTTTCAATCTGTAAATGTTATGTTCTTAACCTTCTTTTACATAATCAGCAGTCTGCTCAACATACACTTCTTCTTCAAGAACATCTTTCAAAAAAGTAGATTTTATTTGATACATGCCTTTTACTTGTATCCTCTAACAACTAATTTTGCCTTAAAACGATCAACTTTTCCGGTTGGTTTGAACTTGATCTTGTATGCCCACTAGACTCAATTAGCTCTTTTTAAGGTGGAAAAGTAGTCAATTTTTATGTGTTATTTTTCTCAATAGTATGTGTAGACAATAAATTTGCGTCGAGAAAATAATCAACACCGAAAAAAATCGCAACAATCGTAATATTTGATTTCAAGTAATTTGAGTGTACAATCTCTATGAATCCTCTGATTCTTCTTTCCAATAGTAAATAAATTCAAGGGCATTTGAGCTTGATCTTGAATCTATATTTGTTTCTACGAACGATGATCTTAAATTCAACTAGCACAAACTTTGATTTAAACTCGTACTCCTTGAATCTTGACTTGTTCTTCGTTCTTGAGCTTAAGCTTGATTGCTTGAGCTTGAAGTTCTTCGTTCTTGAGCTTGAACTTGATTTCTTGAACTTGAACTTGAACTTGATTGTTTGAAGCTTGAAACTCGTAGAGAAATTTGCAGCGTTTGATCCACGAGCTCTTTCTTGCTTCTTGTTATAATTTCTGGTGTCTTTTCTGGGTTATGAAGACCCCTATTTATAGTTGTGAAAGAGAGGAGTGTGACATGGCCGCATTTGATTGGCCAGAACATGTCACTTGCACATGTGGCGTGATTTCATTAGTCTTTTAATATGACTTGGCATGCCTTGTCATTTTGACACGTGGCATGATCCTATTGGCTCTTACGCTTGAATTGGCGTGCCATGTCATTTGACACGTGGTACCAAACTGGGCCTTTAAGGAAATGACATCTTGGGCTTAATGAAGTGGGCTCATCACTTTAGCCCAATTAAATGGGCTAGCCCAATGGATTAAGACTTATTTATTTAATCCATATATATTGGATTTATATAATTAATCTAATTATATTAGCCCATAATATTTGTTTGAACTAATATATATTGAATTTAAAATATAATCCAAATAACTATGAATTTAAATCTAATAAAATTTAAATGCCTACAAATGCCCCCTAGTTCAAAACTTGTTTGAGGTATAAATAAACTTGATAAACCTCACTACTAGGCTTGAAGTATAAGTGAAGTATCAAATCGGACTCAAGTTAATATTTTTTTTTTTCTCGGGTCAAATTAGAACTTCTGAAAAAGTATCCATGCACTTTATTTGTAGTGCATAATTCCTTTCAGCTACTTCGATTTGTCTTCAAGACTTTTAATAGCAATTCTCCTTCATTAGTAAAATAAAATAAGGCTAAGACACGTAGCGAGTAAACTTTGGTACTTGAATCTATCACTGCCAGGAATTGCAACTCATTTACCAAATTAGAGAAGATCCCTTTAATGTAATGATTAGGCAAACAATCCAATTCGAAAAGGAGATAACATCAACGTGATTTCAGGAGCTATTTACATGTCCTACATGTAAGTAATCCTATTTGCAACATGATTTGGTTAATTACGGTGTCTCCAATTTCATTGCAATCATTGCCGCCTCTACGAAAGGATTATACACATCCGAATCCTTTTCTAACACCTCCTCCTAGTCCGTATTACAGTAACCACTTCCAACTAGGAGTAGTAACTATGTCCCACATCGGGACTTTATTCCCAAATACTGCTTTGAGAAATCTATATATAGGATGCGTACTCTCCAACTTGTGAGCATCAGTTCGCATTATTTTCAAGCCACTTTGAGTCTATTTTTGTGGACTCGGAAGTATTAACGCGAAGGTAATTTCTTGCTTTTCTTCCTTTGTTGCTTTTTTTTTTTATTTTTGTAGGTCAAACAAGAAGGATGTGTTCTTGTTTAATGAGATGATCCATGCATGGAGAAGATGATTTTATAGAGTGAAAGTATTTGTATTCATTCTCACCCGAATATCGGAGAGATTATTAGAGAGATTACTTTCAATATGGCTCGACTATCGGAGAGCTTACTCTCAAAATGACCTGACTATCGGAGAGATTACTCTCAATGTGGCCCGACTACCGGAGAGATTACTCTCAATGTGGCATGACTACCAGAGAGATTACTCTCAATGTGGCCCGACTACCGGAGAGATTACTCTCAATGTGGCATGACTATCGGAGAGATTACTCTCAATGTGGCCCGACTACCGGAGAGATTACTCTCAAAATGACCCGACTATTGGAGAGATTACTCTTAATGTGGCTCGACTACCAGAGAGATTACTCTCAATGTGGCCCGACTACCGGAGAGATTACTCTCAATGTGGCATGACTACCAGAGAGATTACTCTCAATGTGGCCCGACTACCGGAGAGATTACTCTCAAAATGACCCGACTATTGGAGAGATTACTCTTAATGTGGCTCGACTACCAGAGAGATTACTCTCAATGTGGCCCGACTACCGGAGAGATTACTCTCAATGTGGCATGACTACCAGAGAGATTACTCTCAATGTGGCCCGACTACCGGAGAGATTACTCTCAATGTGGCCCGACTACCGGAGAGATTACTCTCAATGTTGCCTGACTACTGGAGAGATTACTCTCAGTGTGGCTCGACTACCGGAGTGATTACTCTCAATGTGGCTCGACTATCGGAGATATTACTCTCAAAATGACCCGACTATCGGAGAGACTACTCTCAATGTGGCCCGACTATCGGAGAGATTACTCTTAGTGTGGCTCGACTATCAGAGAAATTACTCTCAATGTGGTCAGACTATCGGAGATATTACTCTCGATGTGGCTCGACTACCGGAGGTCATTTCATCCATTTAGACCTTTGTGCTCATTCTAATATTCTTGATTTGGATTTTGATGACCCTTTTTTTTCTTCTTTTTTTTTTTTGCAGCCCGAAGAGATCGCAAATGTTAGAGACTAAACCTCACCTTCCTCCAAACTTAGATATTTCATAATGGAGACTAAAGATGGCATAGAACAAACCAAGCTTTTGGTTCACACCTCACAAGCTGACCGGTATGCAGCCTCATGGCCTTCTTTGAGGAACTCCCTTCATGTATAAAACTAGACCTTGGAGCACAAATCAACTTCTAATCCATTGTCCAAGACGTGGTATCTCCAAGCGCCAATCCATCGCCACGTAAATATTGCTAGCACCCTTCCAAACTGAGGACGTCGCATAATTCAAGGCGAAGTACGTTGGGGAAACACAACAACAATCGAGGGCGAGTATCGCCATATTCCAGGATATTGGGAATGGGCTGAAGATGTACTTGGTGGAAGCCAACAAACCCTGAGTACACCAAAGATTTACGATGCTGTCTATGCCTCACTTTTCACTTATGATCGGAACTTGAACATTTTGCAAGCATTTTGTGAGGCTTGGTGCCCCAAGACGAACACGCTTCTTACATCAGTCAGGAAACTATCTATCTCTCTTTGGGACTTACATATCCTTGGAGGTCTGCCCATTGCGGTTTCTCCGTACGAAGAAGTGGTACCTGAGACAAGAGAACTCATCGGTTTGGACGAAAAACATATAAGATTTATTCCTCGATCTTGCGAGTATTTATTTGATGCCTTCCATCACCTAAAGGAAGGTACGTGTGTTAACCAAAAGGTCTCCTTGAGCAAGTGGACAAATTTTTGGTATAAAAAAACTTTAATTTATAAACCTGCCCCACTGCGAAAGGAAAAGAAGTCTGTGCGCCTAAAGTCGACACATAATCCTAACGGAGTTATTCCCAAGACAACTAGGTGGTCGAGTGATCAAGAAGCTATATTCTCCAAGTTTAGGGTGAGGTCTGACAAGAAAGATGAAACATATATAGCAGCATTCTTATCGATTTGACTATGTGCCTTTGTGTTTCCCAAGGCAGAAAACTCAATTCATCCCGAGACTTTTAAGATGGCAAGCATGATGGCAAGCGGGCGAAAGATTAGCCTTGCGGTCCCAGTTTTGGCGAGTATTTATCATGGTTTGAATAAGATTTCGTGTTCTTCCCAACTTGATCAGGTCAAAGTTTATTTTCACATCCATTATGTTTATGGCTGGCTTGCACATTACTTCAAAACCCATTATCCACTTGCTAAGGGTTCGTCCGTCCCTTTGATGGTGGCATACTCAAGAGAGGGAGCTGCGAGGTACTTTGACGAGAAGGATGCAAGAAAATGCATCCACAATGGGGAGGATATAGTTTGGACACCAACAATGTTAACTAATTCTCGTCCTTATTATTATGTGGATAACGATGCCCCTCAAGTGTTGAAGTCAAATTACTTCATGAGCTTACGTTTTAATTACCTCCCTTTGACGTATGGTAACTCATTCATCATCGAGCCATATAGCCCACATCGGTTTGGTCGTCAATTTGGGTTTTACCAGAACGTCCCCGGTTTTTTAGAAAATGATATCCGTAGCGCCTCAATAGATGAAAGACTCAGATTTTGGAGGATTTGCACACTTTATCGGTCTATGTCACGTGCGGCTTTTCCCCCAACGGGAGATCCTGTGGAGAAGCCTTTCTCCACCAATTATTTGTCTTGATGGGAGAAAGCGCATGGGAAGTTTCTCGAGAATAATTTACAAGCTTTGGTAGACAATGTTGGGCTAAAATCTACTACTCCTCTAGGAGGTGAAGATCAAGGTGTTGGAAAGACGCTCTCAAAAGTCAAAGAACCACCTACTCCGATCCCGAAAGTAGTTACACAACATAAGAAAAGGAAGCTTAAATCCTCAAAAGCAGCTTTGAAAGAGGTGGTGTGCACTTCAACGGTTATAGAGAAACACCCTCCAGTTTTTTCATTTAGCAAGCAAGTTCCTCAAGATTCAATCCAGAGTACCAATGAAGATCAAAATTAGAAAAAGAAACGGCCTATCCCAGTAGAGATCGTAGAGGTTCCAAGTGTCGATAGTCCCTCAAGAACGCTTACGGCTTGTAACAAGGAGGTAAAAATACAATCACATTGCCCTTTCTTTTATTTTTAATCGAACGAATAGCTTCACTAAAAAATTATTCACTTTCTTTGCCTTTTCCTTATGCAGTTAAATGCCATTGGGCATCCGATGGTATCCCCACATGATAAGCCACAAGTGAGTAATTAATCTATTGGAGGGCCTACATCTAAAGTGAAGTCATCTTCAAAGGCAACATCTCTTCCTCACGACGAAACCCTAAAAAGACAAACTCTAAATGAGATAACTTGCGTTCCACCAATGAAAAATACAGCAGTATCTATTTTTGAAGGAAAGAGCATTGTCTTTAATCGCAAAAAGGAATTCATCTTGGAACTTTGGGAGGATATTTGCAACAGACTCTCCAAAACTCATGCAGAACTGCTCTCATCTTATAGGGAGCAAGTCACTGAGATTTTCGAGGATATGAAAAAGGCGAATATTTTAGATCTTTCTCCATTAGAGTGTTTACTGGATTCTCTATTCGAGCTTGCTGCTTCATATGACCAAGAGCGATCCAATTTGGCTGATAAGACGAGTAAAGATGAGAAGTTGGAGCTGATTTCCAAAGTAAGGAGCGTCTTGAATCGTTCAAACTTGAAGCAAGTGAGAAAGTCAAGAAAGTTTCCTCTAGTGAAAAGAAACTGAAGAGAGTTGTGAAGAAGTTGCAGACATTACAATAAGAGAGGAAGAACCTCGAAGGTGTTATAGAAGCGACTCAAAAGGAGGTTGAAGAGATTCGGGCAAAAGTTTCAGTTTCCGAGACTGAGGTCTCTTCATATGACAACGTAAATTTACCGACTGATGAAGATTCGGCCAATTTGGAGGAGAAGAAGAAGAACCTGGAGACTAGCTGTCAAGAATTGATCAACTACAAGTTTTGTTTAGATTAGGCTATTAGCATTATCTCCCCTTTTATCTTTATGTTAGATTGACCTAGTAGATATTTATTTTATCTTAAATAAGATTGCTTCTCTTTTGCTTTATATTGCCCGACATTTATCTTAGTCGCATAATTTTCAGCTTTACGCACTTGTAACGAAAGATTCATATCTTGTCGTGGGATAGTCCAAATAACGAACCGTTTAATTTTTCGAAATTTAGACTTCAATATCTAAAACATGTCCAAAACTTAGAATCAATCACCTTCAGAATCGACCCAGATAATATTTTGAATCTAACTTTAGATTGCACCACGTAGAAAATTTCAGATTTGCGCAGTCTCACAAAACAAATCATATCTTGGTGTAGGAAAGTCAGAATCACGGACCGTTTGATTTTTTGGAAATTTAACTTACAGATCTACAACATATCCGAAATTCAAAACTTAATTCCTTAAGGATAGTTTCAGATAATAGTTCGAAATCAATACTAAATGCTGATACGGCGACGATTTCAGATTTGCGCGACTTCACCAAAACTTTTGTACTCGAAATCATGAACCGTTTGATCTATTGGAAACTAAACTTAAAAATCTAAAAATTATCCAAAATATAAAATTTAATACTTTAAGGATAGTTTCAGATGATAGTTCTAAGTCAATACAAAATTCTGACATGGCGATGATTTCAGATTTACGCGACTTCATCAAAACTTTTGTATCTTGATGTAGGAATGTCGAAATCACGAACCGTTTAATATATTGAAAACTAAACTTCAAAATCTAAATCATATCCAAAATATCAAATTTAATACCTTAAGGATAGTTTCATATGATAGTTCGAAGACGACTTTGATTTCTAATATGCCGACAGTTCCAAATTAGTGCGACTTCACCAAATATTTTGTATCTTGGTGTGGGAAGCCTCGAGATTGCAAGACCTTTTTAATTTCCAGAAGTTTAAATTCAAGAGCTTCATTCTCACAAAATGTCTTGGGTTCAAGTCTCACTGAATTTGAAACGTCGTGAAGGCTTGCCAAAAAAAAACCCTGAAGGTTTGGATAACATGAAGGCATAACGAATTCCCGGACTTCAATGCAAATGCTTGGCAGCCCCCTGGAAGATATTAATCATTCCATTGCAGACACCAATTTACCATAGCGTCTTGCCCCCTTTAAATCAAATGGGATCCAAAGTTTAACAGAAGAATGGTATATCAGCTCGATTTTCAAATATTGATTGAATGAATTATATCCCATCGTACTTCATTCGGACAATGATTGGGGGGTTATGTATCATTTGAACTTATGCGACTGAACTCAGAATGAAACTCTAAGTTGTCTACGTACCTCGGTGAAGAGGATCAAGTCATACCGTAGTTCAGAATGGGTATTTTTTTTTATGTCCTAACTTTTGCCTAGGCCGCCTCTTTCGAGGTTTTCAACCTAGCAGACCCTTTTCTTTTGGTAGTAGGCCATACACAGTTTAGACTCGTGCGGGCCAGGAGTGTAGGAACATGTAGTTTAGGCTCATGCGTCAAGGAGCGTAGCAACTTCAAGGATAATACTTCTTCAAAAACTTGCCATTGATAGGACCGATTCTCATGCCATCTGCATCAACTAGCTTGTAAGCCCCACTTAGATAAGCTTCTTGTACGACATATGGCCCATCCCATTTTGACGTGAACTTCTCTACAGCTTTATGGGAAGTAATTATGGGTCTTCGTACGGCAAGGACTTGATCTCCTACTTGAAAGGATCTCGGGCAAACTCTTTTATTGAAGGCGCGAGACAATCGAGCTTGATAACATTCAAGACTCTGTTGAGCTTCCAACCTCTTCTCATCAAGAGCCTCCAACTCTGCTAATCGAAATCGAGCATTTTCTTCATCAGTGATCCCTTCTTGAATAGCTAGTTGTAATGAAGGTATTTGACGCTCGAGTGGCAAGACGGCTTCGACTCCATAAATGAGTGAATAAGGAGTCGTTTGTGTTGGCGTGCGGTGAGTCGTCCTATATGCCCATAGATCTTCTTCCATAAGGTCATTCTAATCTCGTTTGGATTTGGAGATGACTTTCTTTAACAAGTTGCATAGAGTTTTGTTGAATGCCTCAGCTAGACCATTGGCGGCAGCATTGTACATCAAAGAGTTACGTTGCTTGAAGCCAAAGAGATCACAAATCTTGTTCATCAACCTATTGTCGAACAACTTGCCATTATCTGTTATTATGTAACGAGGAATGCCAAAGCGATAGATAATGTTTACTCGGATGAAACTTGCAACATTTTCCTTCTTTACTTCCTTAAGAGCAACACCTTCAGCCCATTTTGAGAAGTAGTCAGTTGCAGCCAAGATGTGTAGGTGCCCGCCAGAGGACTTTGGCAGTGGTCCAATAACATACAATCCCCAAGCGTCAAACGGCAAGGATGCAACAGTCAGGTGCAACACTTCAGGAGGTTGATGAATAAAATTCGCATGGAATTGACAAGCTTTGCATCTTCGAGCGTAGTCCAAGCAATCTTTTACCATCGTTGGCCAATAATATCCCATCCTTTTTATATGAAAGTGAAGCTTTGGTCCAGACTGGCGTGACCTACATACCCCAGAATGTGCCTCTTGCAAAGCTTGGAGTGATTCTTCTTCCCCTAAGCATCGCAAGAGTATTCCCTCGAATGACCTTCTGTATAGAGTATCTTTGTAGTAAAGAAAGCGAGGTGCACTACGACGGATTTCAGTCCTTCTCCTCGAATTTTCTGGAAGTATCCCATAGCATAAGTAGTCGATAATGGGTTGTCTCTATTCTTCTTTCTCAACTTCAAAAACCGCGACAAGATGCTTGAGTTCATTTTCTTCACCTTTAACCTCATTTGGCGGCAGTACTACCCATTTTTGGCAGACAGTAACTTGCACTTGATCAGGCAGGGTTAACGATAAAGCTAGGGCAGCTAAAACATTAGCCTTCTTATTTTCTTTCCTTGGCACATGCTGAATAGTCACATCACCGAGCCACCCCATTAATTTTTTAGCGTAATCATGATATGGGCGTAGTTCAGGCTTCTTGACCTCGTAACTACCTAAAGCTGATTTACTACTAACTGGGAGTCACCAAAGACTTGCAAATGCAATTGCTTCATATCAACGGCCATTTCAAGCCCAAGTATTAATGCTTGATACTCAACAACATTATTGGAACAGAGTTGTGTCAAGGTGAAGGAGTAGGGCAAGACTTCATCTTGGGAAATGACAAATACTACGCCAGAACCAACTCCTCCACGATGCGCAGCACCATCAAAGTACATCTTCCATGGAGGTTGAACTTCAACGACCATTGCGTCCTCATCAGGTAGTTCGTCAGTTAGCTCCCAGTCATCAGGTAT